CTGTCGGCCGGAGCCCTCCCGAGTCGTCCACATCTGGCTCAGAAGGAGCCTGCCGCTCTCTGCCCGGGGCTCTTTGCACCTGCTGCCGGGACTGCTTCGGGTGCCCGACGGCTCGGCTGGCAGGGGCTCTTGCTCTGCTCTGCGCAGCCTCCTGCCCTTGGATTGAGGCAGATGTCGCTCACCAGCCCCTTCTCTCTCTCACTTGCAGGCACACAGCCAAACCTCCAGCGGACACAGGTCAAGGTCTCTGGACAGCCCCCTGGCAGGCAGCTTCTATCATCTGACACAAAGGGCAGGGCAGCGCCCGCCTCCCGCAACCCCCTCTCTCACGGAGGCAGGGTGAATGAGTGACAGACCAAACCAGCAGCTTTCTCTCGAGAAACTCTCTCTCAGCTTCTACATCTCAGCAGTTTGGGCCCTTGAAGTGCCCTTGAAGTGGGCTCAACAGCCTCCTTCTCGGTCCCAGATGCTGGTCTCCTACCACTTGGGAATGGAGGCCACACTCATTGTGGTGTTCTCAAAATAGTCTGGGTTCAGTCGCATCGAGTACAAGTCCCATTTTTTAATTAATTAATTAATTAATTAAAGTTTATTCTGAGAGAGAGAGAGAGAGAGAGAACGAGTGAGGGAGGGGCAGAGAGGGGGACAGAGGACCCGAAGTGGGCTCTGTGCTGACCAGCCTGATGCGGGGCTCGAACCCACGAGCCATGAGATCGTGACCTGACCCGAAGTCGGACACTTAACTGACTGAGCCACCCGGGTGCCCCGAGTAAGAGTCCCACCTTAACATCCAGGCGTGCACACACACAACACACACACATACAGGCGCGTGCGCGCAAATCCGTGCACAATCTGTGAAGGGATCCGTCAGGATGAAAGATTCCCAAGCTCCAGACACTGTGACCAGCTCTTATGACAGTTGTGCTGTTGCCGCCGTTTTAGATATATTTTTGAATCACAGTAATCATTCATAAATATAGCATTGTTGTAGTTCATTCAACACCACAGATCCAGTTGAGTTCCCTGGTGCCCATTCTTCCCGAGGGAAGGACCACGCTTACCGTATTATTGTAGCTTAATTTTAAAACCAGAGCTCAGGACAACGTAGATGACAGCTGTCACTGTCTCTGTGTTAGGATTTTTCTGTTCATAGTTTTCTGCTCCCTTACAAACACACAAACTACACAATGCAATGTTATATTTATGTACGCTTCCCTTGTTTTATTTCCATGGTACTTCTTGTTCTGTAACTTGCTTTCTCCTTGTTTTTTTCAAGTTTTTATTTTAATTCCAGTTAGTTAACATGCAGTGTCACACTAGCTGCAAATGTACAATATAGTGATTCGACAATTCTGCATCCAGCGCTCATCTCGACGGGTGCCCTCTTTAATCCCCACCACCTGTTTCCCCCTCCCCCCACCCTGCCTCCCCTCTGGTGACCATCAGTGTTTTCTCTACAGTTAAGTCTGTTCCTTGATTGGTCTCTCTCTCATTCTCTATCATTTTTGCCCCTCTGCCTCTTTATTTTGTTTCTTCGGTTCCACCTATGAGTGAGATTGTATGGGATTTGTCGTCCTCTGACTTATTTCGCTTAGCATTATACTCTCTAGCTCCATCCACATCATTGCAAATGGCAAGATTGCATTCATTTTATGGCTCAGTGATAGTCCATCGTATGCGTATATCACTTCTTTATCCATTCATCCATCGATGGACACCTGGGCTGCTTCCATATCTTGGCTACTGTAAATAAGGCTGCAATAAACATCAGGGTGCATGTATCCCTTGGAATTTACAACTTGCTTTTTTCACTTAATATGTCTTTTCTTTTTCTTTTTTTTAAAAGTTTATTTATTCTGAGAGAGAGAGAGAGAGAGAAAGCGAGAGAGAGAGAGAGAGAGAGAATCCTAAGCAGACTCCACACTGTCAGAGCACAGCTCGATGCAGGGCTCAAACTCACGAACTCATGAGATCGTGACCTGAGCTGAAATCAAGAGTCAGATGCTTAACCAACTGAGCCACCCAGGCGCTCCTTAATATACCTTTTCAATCTTTATATACTTACGTGGAGAGATTTTATGAATTCTTTTCGATGACTGTATAGTATTCCAAAAAATATGTGCTTTACTTAATTACTTAAATGTTAATGACCTTTAATTAGCTGCTAATTTTTCACTTCTCCAAATATTGCTACAAAGACGGTCTTGGGACATACTTTCGTGTAGCTGTGCGTAGTACTCTCTGGTAGACGCCATGAAGCACCAATATCAAGTGGAAAGATGCACCGATTCCCACAAATAGCTTATCTCCCCACACTGTTGCCTAAACTCAGCGATAAGTCTTTTAAATATTTATGGAAGCAAATGGGTAAGAAATAACAAGATCTGGTTCTTCTAATGTCCATGTCTTTGAAAGTAAGGCAGGGTGTATTTTCCCGTATCTGTTCGTCATCTGTTTATGTACTGTCCTGGTAGTTAACACACTCTTCACCCACTTTCTGATACTTTGTCTTTTTTTTTTTTTATGATCTTGAAGTTTAAAAAACCCCACTCTCTTATCTGATATCATACTGTAATTCATTTCTACCCTCTCATCCCCGCTAATGACCTCTTATGGCATCTATCGCTACGGATAGTTTCATGCTTTTTTGCATCCCACGGGATCCTTATGATTAGATGCAGGTGTAGCTGAGTGTAGCTTTAACTTCATTTCTCGGGCTTCAGACTCATTGTGATTCCTGAATCTGAGGAATATTGTTTCATCCGTTCTGGAAAAGCCTTGATCATTATTTCTTAAAGTACTGCCTCTCCTCAAGTCTCTTCCTTTTCTTCTCCTAGAAGTCTCATTCGACATATTCTGGACCTTTTCATTCTCTTCTCCAGGCCCCCTAATGTTGCTATCATACCTCATGATCTCCCTGAGCTTTATTCTGTATCATTCACGTAGCTCTACCTTTTATTTCACTCATTCAGTCTTTTAGATACGTCTAGTCACTTAGTTTCCTATTTTAATGCCTAAGTTTGCCGTTCAGATTTCAAGTAGTGTCTTTCTTAAACCTGCCTGTTCTGTTGGGTGTCTTCTATGTTTTAGAGACTATCCTGTATTTCTTCACTTGTTTTAAGCACGCTTATATAATGCATTTATCAGTGTATTTTACCCTTGGAAGATCTCGGCAATTTGATCTGGCCATGTGTTCAGTCCGAGGGTTTGCTTTGGATGGTTGCTTCTGTGACTTTATAATTTTGGATCTCCATATTAAGTGGAGCTTCACCTTCAGTAATTCCATGTGATCTGTGTTGAGGACATCAGCCTGGGCCCAGTTCTTAGAGGAGTTGTTCAGTTGAGAAAGAGTTCTCAGACAATGAAAACTGTGTAAATTCCAACCCCCAACTGTCCATGATACAGTTGTGAATTTTCAGAATTTCCAGGAGAGGCTCTTTATTTTCAAACCAGAGCTCAGGACAGCATAAGGTTGTCATTGGCTCGCTGTTGCAAGGGACAGAGCCTCTTTAACTCAGTTTTGAACTCCTTCAAGGGCTCTGGTTCTGTAATACGATCTCCACTACAATCGCCTTCCTGGCAAGAAGATAGAGGTCTAAGGCTCTATCCCTTATCCCCAGGGACCTCAAGATCCCGCGTCACAGAAGCTGATGCTGGCTCCTCACCCAAGTCCCAGGGTCACTGAAGAGTTAGCTCATACTGCAAACTTTTCATTACATCCATGGGGATATCTCTTGCTATCTTTGGAGCTATGTCTTTAAAAAGATGTTTGCCATATTTCATCTGGTATCTCTAGATGCTTGTAATAGACAGGTTTTTGGGTAATTTAATCCACTGGAATCTTCTAGATGAAATTTCAAAGACTGTCAAGTTTTAACATCCAGTTGATTCCTATATCCATTGAGAGACACGGGAACACAGAACTGGAAAGAATGTTATGACCCATTAAGGCAACCCATACCGGACCCTTCATTTTTGAGACGCAGAGACTAACAACAGGGTAACTGTGACCTTTCCAAGGCCACACATTTGCCTACTGATAGAGTCTGGACAACACATCAGGTCTCCTGAACCCTGGTCTAGCACCTTTCCCACCAAATATTTCCTCCTCCTTCTTAGAATTGGGGCACTGTCATGTGTGATGTTGGACACGTGTCACCCTGTATTTGCTTTTGTGTTCTTTTATTTCAGGAGGTGAACACCAGTCCTGGGAGAAGACAACCAAAATGTCTACCAGAGCAGAAGCTGAGGCAATGGGACATATTTCCAGTGATGGCAATTTCAATATGGCTCAAGCACAAACCTCCAGGAAAGGTAAGTTCACGTACTTGGATCTGTGTCACCTTGACTTCCCTGTTGGTGATACACAGCGTCTTCTTGCTACCACCAATTGCCAAGGACTCCAGACAGCTATAAAGCATTTTTTACTGAGAATTATTTCACTTCTTGCAAGAAACCTTGAAGGTACATAGGACAGGTAGGTATCAAGACATGATTTACAGATAAATAAAAATTCAGAACAGATGCTAAGTAGAAAACATGGAGACCAGTCTTGGTTTTTCCGATTCTAAACTGAGGAGCATCCCACTAGATCTCTCTGCCCATATAGATCCACACCTGCCTCAAAGAGAGAAGGCTTTTCCTTTCCACCATATCCGAGAAGTCACTTTCCATCTTCCATGTTGTCTAAAGCACGACCAAGAGCTTCTCACTCAGAAGAACTGTTGAACACCTTATTTTACTCTAAATTTCTAATGACTCAAGAGCTGTGTGATTCATTAATTTTCTTACGGATATAAGCTTTTCATAAGATAATGTCTTTGAGGGAGTGCCTGGGTGGCTCAGTGGGTTAAGCTCTATGCTTGATCTCGGCTCAGGTCACGATCTCACGGTTTGTGAGTTCGAGCCCCACCTCGGGCTCTGCACTGATGGCAAAGAGCCTGCTTGGGATTCTGTCTCTCCCTCTCTCTGCCCCTCCCCACGTGTGTGCACACACTCTCTCTCTCTTGCTCTCAAAATACATAAATAAACTTAAAAAGAAGACAATGCTTTTGAAAAGTAAAGCACTAACCAAGATGGGATGCTTCACAATACTCAACATTTCGGCCAGGGTGTCTGCTGGGAAGTGGGCATATCTGAAGGACAAGAGGATTCTCTGCATCTTACCCATCGAAGAAGAAATCAGGACAGATGCCTTCTCATACCCCATCTACAGTTAACTATGAGCCACTTGACCTGGAACGAATACTATTCCATTGCCTGGCTTCCTCATCTGCAAAATGGGAGAGCTCGACTCTTGCATCCCTAAGACCTCATCCACTTCTAAACACTTAAGAGTCTAGAGGACAATACCCTCGGCCAAATTCTCCTATCCTAACTCTCTCTCGCCAACATCAGAAATATAAAGAACTTGTGTATAAACATTTCCCACGTTTGCAATCCTGATTTTGCCATTTATGAGCTGTGTGACCTTAGGGAAGTTACTTGAACTTTGTGTGTTTCCGTTTCCTTATCTGTAAAGACAAAATAATAGTGTGTACCTCACATCACAATTTAACGAGGATTAAATTAGTTATAATGTGTAACCCATTTAGAACAATGCCTGGCACACAGTCAACACTACATAAACTTTATACAGAGTTGATGATCATCAGCTCTCACACAGTGTTCCTGGCTCAGCCCACTTTTTGGCAGTGGTGACACTCATAGCCAACCTTCCTGGTTTCTTCTAGTCTCCTAGGACATCCGCCCTACCATTTTGCTTAGTCCTCTGCTGAGGACTAATAATAATGCATCACTCTGATGACCATGTGCAGCCCTGAGTGGGTGATTTTCAAGGGGACAACCAAACGTCACAGGCAGAAATCCCACATCTACCATCAACGACCCTCACACATGGGCCTGTAGCTGCCTCATGGCATCATGGCTTCTCACCGTCCACCCTTCCAAACCTTGCCAGAACGCCCTCCTTGTTGGAATCCTGTTCACATGGTAGATTGAGGGCTGCCATTTTCAGGTATCTGTCTCTCTGCTACTGTGGAGAACTTGGCAAGGCAAGGATGGAGTGAGAATCTTCACAAACAGCATCAGGCATAGCTTCCTTCCTCCCCATCGAGAGCCCACGTGGAAAGAGCCCCAGCCCATGGAAAGAATGTCACTCAAAGGCCAGTCTACAATCACATCCCTTTCTGAAAGTCACAGAAATAAACAAGCACACCACTTGAGAAAGTATCTCCATCTAGGTTAAAACTAGGGGAACTGTCCCGGGGTGCCTGGGTGGCTCAGATGTCCAACGTCAGCTCACGTCATGATCTCACAGTGCTGACAGCTCAGAGCCTGGAGCCTGCTTCAGATTGTGTGTCTCCCTCTCTCTCTGCCCTTCCCCCACTCTCTCTCTCTCTCTCTCTCTCTCTCTCTCTCAAAAATAAATAAGCATTAAAAACAAATCTAAAAAAAACCCCACAAAACTAGGGAACTGTCCCTACCACACACTACAAAAGCTAAGACTTGTGGATTGGTTTAATACATTCTAGATGATATTGAGAGAGGATGTCAAGAGCTGACCAAACTCTCGTCCTTGGAGCATGGTACAGTGACACAGAAAGACAGGGGGACACTGAAGCCTTGGCTCATGCTTCCTAGCTCTGAATGGCAGTGTCTAGAGGCCAGTAGACCACCAGCAGCAGGGCGAATCTGCAGCGCTGGGATATGGGGTGAAGCTCCCATGGGCCCCCATCCTGATGTCTACCCCTCCACAGCTCACCCATCTTTCTAAACACTGGCATCCTAGCATCTCGAGCCAGTAGAACAGACCAGGGAAAACATGCGTGATGGCAGAAATTAACTGGGACATTTGGGAGACTTGTCCTCAAAATCTACCAGGTCATCGCAAAATTAAAATGCAAGAGTCGTGGGGCACCTGGGGGGCTCGGTCGGTTAGGTGTTTGACTTCGGCTCAGGTCATGATCTCGCAGTTCATGGGTTCGAGCCCCGTGTCGGGCTCTGTGCTGACAGCTGGGCGCCTGGAGCCCGCTTCGGATTCTGCCTCCCTCTTGCTCTGCTCCTCCCCGTCTCTGCTCTCTCCCTCTCTCTCAAATATAAATAAACATTTTTAAAAAAATGTTTTTAATGGAAGAGGAGTTACTTCCCTTGGACTGGTGAAAGAAATGCAAGATGCCATCCTCCCACTCACACACGCCCTGTTACCATCACATGACAACGGGGCCTCAGACCACAAAGGTGGCCCATTGCAAAGGTTTCTACACACGGGCACGAAATCACAAATGATTGACCCTTATGGCCCAAGACTGCAGAGACGAAGCACAAGGGACCCATGTGAATACTTTAGCACAGAAAGGAATAAAAAGAAATGTATCAGATAAAAGAGCGATCGTCGCATAATGAGTGCATGCTGTGAGCCAGACACTGTTCTGAGCACTTTATATGGATTAATTCACCGAATCCTTGCAACAACCCTTCAAGGAAGGTGTTACTAGCATCGTCACCATTGTACAGGAGCCAGAATTCAAGCACAGAGGAAGTAAGATTTAAGTCATCAAGGCACAAAGAGGCGTCATCTGGATTTCAACCCCAGCGGTCTGATTGCTAACCATTATATCACACTGCTGTGCTGATTTTATCTGGGGACACTGAGGACTGTTTTCATTCCTAATTTCAGTTCTCAAGAATAAGAAGAAGCTTAGACAGTAGGAAGCAAATCAACAGAAGAATGTGAAGGAAGAACCCCACGTAGATGTGAAAGGAAACTGAAGAGGAAAATACATTACTTCAGAGTTAAAAAGGAATTAGCTGCAGCAAGGAAAGAAATTATCACTACAGAAAATCGAATCAGTGACACAGAGCCAAGGCTTAAAAAAGTCACGGAGGACGCAGAGGGTTAGCAAGTCAAGAGGATCAAAAAACGATCGGCAGGAAGAAGGGAAGACAATGAAGATTGTCTAAGAATAGATGAAAGCAACTGCATTACGCATCCAGTTCACTGAGTCTACAGCTTCAAGGAAAGTACTTGGAAAAACAGAACAGACAACTCAAATGTAGAAAAAGTGAACGCAGGGGCGCCTGGGTGGCTCAGTCGGTTAAGCGTCCGACTTCGGCTCAGGTCATGATCTCGCCCTCCGTGAGCTCAAGTCCCGCGTCGGGCTCTGTGCTGACAGCTCAGAGCCTGGAGCTTGCTTCGGATTCTGTGTCTCCCTCTCTCTCTGACCCTCCCCTGTTCATGCTCTGTCTCTCTGTCTCAAAAATAAATAAACATTAAAAAAAATTAAAAAAAAAAGTGAACGCAAATCATGAAGGAAATCGCGATAAAATCTACGTACAAGAGCTGATCCTTTGAGAGCAGATGCCATTCGCCGCAGTGAAACAATTCATAACTCAGATCGATCAGGCAGAGAGATTCAACATAACTGATGGTGGGGACAAAGGAGACGAGGCATTTAAGATACATAAGGTGTTAGTTACAAGGAAAGCAGATAATATCCATACTTTCTATGAAAATAGAATTTATCAATTTGCATTAAGAAAACTCGTTCTTGTCAAAAAACCATGTAAGAAGTGAAGCAAGTTGTTGAAAAGTTAACCCTTTTAAAACAAAGTAGATCTTGGTGGTTTCGCTAGAAAAATTCGGTGAGATTTTATGGAACAGGAAATGTCTATGTATCCAGGGCTGAAGAAATAACAAATATTTACGTAGATGCTACACCTTAAGTGTAGTTCCTCACTGCTTCAGTGTGGACTGTGCGTGTGACTTCTTCCAGAGGACAGTCTGGAAAGGGAGAACACAGGGGTAACTTCCCAGTGGAGAAACCTGACACTACCTCAAACCAGGTGATTCAAGGCTAGTATCAGCAGTGATAAGTCATGTTGATAGTATGGACCCTCGATACGTGAAGAGAATGGCAGCCTTCCTCTCAAACACACGTTGCCTTAGTCCAGTCATGAAAACATATCAGACAAATCCCAGTCGAGGGACGTTCTGTACACTATCTGACCACTGCTCTTCAAGATCCTGAAGGCCATCAGAAAAGAAAGTCTGAGAAACTGTCATAGCCATACGTATGCCGAGGACATGTGATGATTAAATGTACTATGCTATCCCGAATGCAATTCTGGAACAGAACACAGACATCAGGTAAAAACCAAGAAGTCTGAATAAAGTGTAGACTTTAGCTAATAACAACACATCACAGGAGGTCCATCAAGTGTGACAAATGCACCAGAGCAATAGAAGATGTTTGTAACAGGAGCCCCGGGGTGACTCAGTTGAGCACTGACTCTTGATTTCGGCTCAGGTCATGATCTCAGGGTCATGGGATTGAGCCCCACGTCAGGCTTTGCGCTCAGCATGGAGCCTGCTTAAGATTTTTTTCTCTCTCTCTCTAAAAAAAAAAAAAAAAAAAAGTTCGCAAAAGAGGAAAATGGTGTGAGGTGTACAGAAATTCAGTAATTTTGTTAAGTCTAAAACTGTTCTAAAATAAAAAGTATATTAAGACAAAACAAAATGGCTATTCACCTAAAATACTTCAGGTCACAGGTTGAGATGGAAAGCCTAAAACTAACTTTCTTTATAAAACTAGCATGTCAAAAATTACACCCCCACAATTATTCACAGTAACATTCACCCAAATTCAATTATATACACTAACGTAAAATTCTAGCCAAAATATTTGCAAAATAAGTCATGTGTTTTCATTAAAACATCCTATTAGGAAGAGATCAATTCAAGAAAGTAAGGAGAGCCAAATGCTATTAATAAATAATTATAATGAACTTACATAAACTCAATTCTCACTCAGGACCTTGAGGTAGGTTCTATCATTAGCCCCATTTTACAGGTGGAATACTGAGGCTACAGATAGTTCAGGAACTTGCCCGGGAGCACACAGCTGTTACTAGAGCAGATCTGGGTATCCTGACTGTATGATTCAAATACATTTCATAAAACTCATGCAGTCACATAAAAGTAATAAGAAACAGGACCAGGATAGCTTCATGCAATGAAAGGACAAGTCCCACCAGCCTACTTAACAGTGTGATGTGCGAAACATTCCCCAGAAATCCAGATAGGACAGGACTGGCCGCTCTCTCTGCTTCTATTTAACAGTTTAGAAACTGCCAGTGAATAGATTACCCAAGAGAATGAAATAAATGGTAAACATGACAACCATAATCACCTATTTTTTTCTATTATTAGTACTTAACACGTACATAGGATTGGTTTTCTGCTCTCAACTCAAAGGAAGAAAATGTGAGAATGATAGGGAAAAGAAAGGACTGCTCTGGAAACAATAAAAAGTACGTTAAGAAACCTGGGTGGGACGTAAACTGAAGAGAGCTGTAAAATCTCACCCTGGACCAGAGAAAAAGACTTGAATCCCCAGGGAGCCATCGTTACGTTGACTAGGAGCAGACATGCTACACGAGTGGCCATCCCTCTCAATCTGATCTGCCTTATCTATACGATGTTCTCAAAACGCCAACGTCAATTCCTGTGGATGGGGGAGGGGAGAGTCTCAACTAAATGCCCCCTGAGTTACACCTGGTGATCTGTCTGTCCACCCCTGGAACCCGCCAGGAGGATCCCCACACAGCAGGAGATGGGGCTGGCCATCTGGAGCGTGTTTGCCAGGAGCCAGGAAAGGGGGCACCCACGTGCCTTGAGGACAGGGTTACATATTGTATCTCTGAGATTTCTCTACAGGGCCAGCCGATGGATCCTTCTAGCTGCTGCCAAACTAATGCATCTGGACTCAACCCCAGGGACAGCCCCAGAGCCCCCATGGATCACTGGCACATTTTACGCGAGCCTCAATTACAGTTTCGAGATGAAGTTACATGCTTCTGACATCCGACCTAGCCTACCTTTCAAATTTCGTCTCCTCCCTTCCCCTAACCCGTTAATCAGCCGAGTTCCCTGGTAACAGGGTGGGGCACTTGGGAGTCATTTCCAAAAACTCCTGCTCTTACTATCTGTATCCCATCAACCACGGCTTCTAGCCAGTTCTTTGTCCAATCTCACTTCTTCGTCTTAAATGTTTATTTTTGAGAGAGAGAGAGAGAGAGAGAGAGGCAGGAGTGGGGGACAGAGGATCTGAAGTAGGCTCCGTGCTGATAGCACAGAGCCCCATGAGGGGCTCGAACTCACGAACCGTGAGATCATCATCTGAGCCAAAGTCGGATGCTCAACTGACTGAGCCCCCCAGGCACCCCCCAATCCCACTTCTTTCCAGCCTCTCTCATGAGCTCATCCCAGAGCCGTCAGGAAAACTTTCCTAACACTTGCTCTGGCCAGTTCCACACCTTCTTCAAGTCTCCGCTCAAGTAACGGTTCTGAGGAGGTTCCTGACCCCCTCACCCCCTGGGGGGCGGGGAGGGACAGGTGTCCACCAGACACCTACAGAGGAACCCCTGCTCTCTCTCTGTTTCTGCCTCACAGACAGACTGCAATCTTCTCCCCTTTCCAGACTTACGAAAGGCGGGAGAAAAGCACCCCAATGATAAGACTTTCTGTGCCCCCCACCTCAGGCTTTTGTTCAGTCCGACACGGGCTGGCCCTCATCGTGCATCTCTGCAATTTTTCGATTTTCACCCAACAAATGAACCTGAGCATAGCCATCCCAGCTATGGTGAACAACACAGCCCTGGCTGGCCCATCCAACACCTCCACAGAGAGGCCTCCCACCGCCCCCCAGGACAGCTGGAGTGAAACTCTAAAAGAATTTAAGCCAATGGTAAGTTTAATGAGACTCTGCACCGTTCGACCTAAAGGGTTATTTACTTATTAAGCACCTACTATGTTCGACGAAGTGTATTACACACAAACATACTGTATCGCTAAGCAGATTATATCTCTACTTGTGTCTAACGCTGCAACCAGGGACTAAGCACGCAGGATATCATTCTACTCGTTAGCAGACACACGTTTTTCCCCTACAAGGACGAAAACCACCACACACACAATTAAGTTCCACAGATTTATGTTACTTTTGCTTTCTTCCTTCGCAGATTTTAAAAATCACCTTGCCTAGCATAGCATGTGTTTTCTTTGTAGCCTTTCTCTCTTTAAGGGATCTCTTAGGTCTTGGTTGGTCATTAACTGTGTAACCAGGGAAACTGTGTAAAGGCAAAGAGTACCTTGGGCATATGCTTGGGTTTTCCTAATGAACTTGGCAGACTGGAGGCACTGGAGAGAGGTGGCCAAAGATAAACAGTGAGATTCTCTTTGTCACCCAGGCCCCTACGTATGACTGGAGTCCTGACATGCAGGGGATCATTCTCAGCTCTCTCAACTATGGCTCCTTCTTGGCTCCAATCCCTATTGGCTACATGTCTGGAATATATGGAGCGAAGTACTTGGTTGGTATTGGTCTGTTTCTTTCCTCGGTCTTGACCTTCTTCATCCCACTGGCAGCTGATGCTGGAGCGGCCTTCCTTGTTGTCATTCGGATAGTTCAAGGCATAACCCAGGTACCAAGATGCTTTCTAAGTAAGTATAAGTGGAATACGGATAGGTTCCCAAATGACCTCAGATAGCCAAGAATGGGACTTTTTTTTTTTCCAGGGTATGGTATTAACAAGTCAGTATACAATTTGGGTCAAGTGGGCTCCCCCACTGGAAAAGAGTCAGCTCATCAACATTGCCATATCAGGTAATGGATGCCTTAAATTCTCAGCTCATATGCATTAAGAGTACTCTGCAATGGCCTATGGACAGAAGCCAAGACTTTATAGTCCAACTACCCTGTCTCCTTGCTCTCAAGCACTACTACCCTGCAGTATCTTTTTTCAAATCATAACTGGTTGCCAACTGCGTACCAACCACGGTTGTAAGTGCTTTGCACGTGTAAATGTCATTTTAGCCTTGGAACAAGCTTATAATTCAGCTGTACATCATTATTTCCACTTCACACAGAAGGGAATCTGAGATACAAATAGACTAGTCCAACATCCAACTTGTCCAACTTGTCCAACATCACACAGCTCCTGAGTGAAGGAGCGGGATTTGAACCAAGGTAGTCTGGATCGCCGCTCATAACTTTAATCGCTGTGCAACTCAGCTCTGGGAAGGGGTCAGTCTGGAGGAAGCACACAGAGTCCCAAGCCTGACTCACACTCAGAACATCCTCACATATTCTGTTCAGGGCAACTGCTGGGATCCTTCATCATTTTCCTCATCGGTGGTTTCCTGTGCCAGACCATAGGGTGGCCTTATATCTTCTATATCTTTGGTGAGTGGGGGCTTTTCATATCTTGGGATTTTTGTATCACAACAGAGAATGCTGGGCATGATTTTCGTGATGTGAGTCATCTGTGGTTAACCAAATCCTGATAGATAGGAATATTTGTGTAACTAAAGTGGATAATGCTCACAGATAATCACGTTATGAATCTCGCAAAATGACATTTAAATCTCAGTAGCCTGAATGTGGAGCTAGAAAAACCAATGACTTTACAGGCATCATAACAGTCCATCCTGCTTCTAGACCGAACCCACAAAGAACCCCAGAGAGGTTTCTATTATAAGATGTTGGAAATGTTATCTTGGTGGGATTATGTTTTTAGTTACGTTTATTTAATTCATCTTTTAAAATTCTCCTACTATCACAACCAGAAAATTATGAGACTGTGACCTAACCACAAAATGCCAATTGGCGTAGAGAATCAACCAGTAGAACCTGCAGGACAGGGCAGACCATGTGAGGCTCAAGAGTGGCTGTACTGCCCTCAGAGAAGCTGCAGAAGCTTCCAAAGACACACGGACGATTCCAGAAGCAATATTCTACTACTTCAAAATACTGCCTTCCCCCTCGCCCTGGTTGGGATCTGCTGGGCTGCTCTCAGCTAATGCTTGTGTTTGGCTTTTTAAAACGTCTCTGAAACCCCACCTGTAAACCGTGTGATTCTTGTAAGATCACTGAGCCCCAAGGGTGCTTCTGTTCGAGGAGAAGACTCTTAGATCAAGGGTGCCTGTACCATCAGGTCCATATATTCACTAGAAAAAATATATATTCACTAGTGTGTGAAGATTGGTTACGATAGCTTGTCAACCTCCAAAGGCTTTGTCATAGACACTTCAAAGGGCAGGTTACAAAAATGACTCAAGCAATGAGAGGCTAACTCTGCTCAAGATTTCCAGAAATAGTAAGCAGTACCTACAAAGCAGGAACTCAGTACAGTATTTGTGGACTTCCTCCGTTCTCGATGTATGACAGCAGTCATTTTTGTATCTGCTCCTCCCTACTTGGTTTCAAGTTCCTTGATGGCAAAATTGTACCTTTGTACTTACTCTTCTATTCTCAAAACCAAGCAGAATGCCTGTATGGTATTTCTACACTCTATGGTAACTCCTCACAGTGCCTTTGTGGAAAAATGTGTAAAAGACAAGCTAGCAAGTAAAAAGAGCCATCGAGACTTTAAGACCCTAAAAGAGAAAGTGTTAAGATCAATTTTATTTCCACTCAACACTCATCAGGCCGGGTTGTCCAACGGTGTCATCATGTATGTGTAAGTGGTGGGGAAGCACCCTCCACCAATGACAGGGCCACGCAGGAGGGTGTGGATGCAGGGAGGAGTGGCATCTTGGGGACAGTCATTCTGTCAACCGCAGCAATCCTCTCAGTGTGGTGTCAAACTGAAACAACTCGCAACCAGGGCTAACCGGACCCTCTTCCTAGGTGGAATTGGCTGTGCCTGTTCTTTTCTCTGGTTTCCTCTTTTTTATGACAACCCCATAAATCATCCGTTTATCAGCACTGGTGAGAAGGAATACATCATGCGTTCACTGGCTCAGCAGGTGCACTAATGAACTTCTCTGCCATTTCCCTGGGTCCGTCTGGGTGGCTCACGGGTGGGGAGGGCATCAGCACAAAGCTCTTGTCTTCTGATGGCAGGGTATTGAGAGATGCTTTCTTCCAGGACTCTTCACCAGCCTGGTCTCTGCCCATTAAGGCTATGGTCAGATCCCTACCACTTTGGGCCATTTTAATCTTTCATTTCACTGAATTCTGGAGTTTTTATATTTTTATGGACTACACACCAACATACTTCAGCACCATACTTCAAGCTAACGTAAGAGACGTAAGTACAGAGGAAGCCCATTCTGTTCTCCTGCTTAAATGCTTCGTTACGTAAATCTCTGTCCCGCTCATGGCTACAACATCCAAGGAAGTGAGCCTGGGACTTTTGTGTAGGAAATGCAACCCTGTTCACTTGAATTCGGATTCATCTCACTGGGACCTACGGCTTTCTGGGGAAGGCTGGTATGGTTCTAAGTAAGCTTGACGTTCAGAGGATGTCGTAATTCTTAAGGGACCTACGTCCCTTATGTTATGTTCAAAACGATCAACATTTGCAAACAAGGCACCCTGCTGGCAGCACAAACAATAAAGGGGTAACAAAACAAGTTCTGCCTCGGAGAAGAAGCCTCCACGGGGAGGCTTAACAACAAATGCTGAAGACGAGGGACTATTAACAGGACATAAAGTTCCAAATAAGCCTTCTGCCAGAAACTTAAAGGCAACGTTCTTTAACAAATGTTTTTTATTCAAGTGTGACACATAAAGAGAAAAGTGCCCATGTGTCCAGCTCTCTGTTCACAAAATGAACAGATGCTGAGATAGTCTGGCAGGAGCCTTTCAATTCCTATAACATGGAGGCCTTTTTTTAAAAAATGTTTTTATTTTTGAGAGACAGAGAGAGACGGGGCGCAAGCAGGGGAGGGGCAGAGAGAGAGGGAGACACAGAATCTGAATCAGGCTCCAGGCTCTGAGCTGTCAGCACAGAGCCCTATGCAGGGCTCGAACTCACGAACTGCAACATGGTGACCTGAGTCGACGTTGGATGCTTAACCGACTGAGCCACCCAGGCGCCCCTGAAATAC